ACGTGTTTGCGAAACCTTTGCGTGAAATGCAAATAACTTAGCAAGCGGTACGCATTCCTCACTCTCAAAGGCAGCGGTGGATGTCCAAAGGGCTCCCGTATTTCGGTCGCCCCCGGCTCTCGGCAGGGCGGGGCGTAAATGCCGGCGATCCTTCCATGGGGGAGGGGTAAAGCCTTCCGTACACTCACAGTGTTGAGCAGTCGTCCCCTACGTCAAGTCCCCAAACATCTCGCATCACTCCGCAAGGAAGTCCCGTACCCATGAGCAGTCCGTCCTCACCCCTCGAGCCCCCAGCCCTGGAAACCTCCAGTCTGCTCTTCGTCTCCGTGGCTTTGCCTACTCTGGCCGCTGCAGACACTTGGAATCGTACGGTGCCTCCTGTATGTGGCTCCCTCCGCCGAGCCTGACGCTTTCAAGGTTCAGCCACGATGCGGCATGTACCCGCACTTCGCTCCTTTGTATGGCTGACCACTATTCTACAGAATGGATGGCCCCGATTCATTTATCCGTCCACTGGCTGATGGGCATTTGGCTTGTGTCCACCTTGTCTATCGCTAATAGTGCTGCTGTGGACATCTGCATACAAGTATGTGTTTGAGCCCGTTTCCTACGCCTTGGGGTACACGCCCAGGGTGAATGCCACTGTTCTGACTTTATCCTCCTTTGCTGAAGCCTCCACAAACAGGGCAGGCGGAGGGAGGCTGCGCTGAGTGAGCTGGCACCTGGGACCCAGGGACCTGGTGGCCTAGCTCCAGCGGACAGGGCGGCCTGCGTAGGGGATGGAGGTGCAGGAAGGCGCCAGGGAACCCAGAGTCACAGGTACCACAGCCGGCCAGTGACTGAGAGCAGGAGCCCTGAGCGACAAGCACCAACGTGGAGACGAAACAACACACCGTCTGTGCACTTGCGGCAAACCACCTGGCTCCTCTCCTCAGAAGCTTTTCGAAGTGTCTCAGGCGACCAGAGGCACTGCTGCCTTCCACCCCGGCTGTCATGGTAACTGCCCCCCCTCAAGTCCCGCCCTCCAGTGTTCCGCATCGAAACTCTGAGTTTGGAGGAGCTGCTTAGATTCATCAAGGCCAGTGGGGTTGACATCGGTTGTCCAGGTACCTTTCCACACTGAAATGGGACATCGGTCCACGTACGTCATCTCTGATAAAAGCACGGGGTGACCACAGTGGTTCTCAACCAGGGGCGACCGTGCCTTCCACCCCAGGAGACACTAGGCAACGTCTGCAGACATTGTGGTCGTCACCACCGGAGTCGGGGTACGGGGGTGCTACTGGCATCTAGTGGGCAGCGACCAGGGGTGATGCTCAACTGCCTACAACGCCTAGGACAGCCCCTCGGCCGGAGAGACTGACACCCCGCCCAATACAGTGCCACGCTGGAGAAACGCTGTGTTCACGGAGCAGACTTTAGAATCACCAAGTTCATCCCTCACGACCTCTGCCTGGTTTCTGTTGAGAAAAATGAGAAGGTGAAACAGCACTCTGACACAGATCTGAGATTTAAAAAGAACTGTCTCAGGGATGTTGTTGTAGACGGCCATAACGCTTCCTTCTTAGTCGCCCAAACGTAGAAAGCAAATAAAAATAGCCCTTATGGATCCGTAAGTTGAAAGGATAAATGGACATTTTTACCGATCACAAATTAAATGCTTAACCATGTACATAAGGACTCCATCTCTTGCTCAAAGACATCACATCTGTACCACAAAATTCCCTCAGTTGCCCGTGAACAAGCGGCAGAACCGGCGCCTGCTGCCAACAGCCAGCACCAGCTGCCAGCCACGTGCAAGAGCCACCACGGAGATGGACGGCACGGCCGCCGTCAGTCCAGCCATCAGCTGACACCGCAGTGCAGGGAGAGAGCGGAGCCAGCGCCACCCAGCTCAGTCACACCGGCCGTCCTGAGCCTCGCGAGCTGACGCGTCGGGAAGGACAGGGAGGAAACAGACCTGGGCCAGGGGGCCTTTTCAGCAAGGGCCTCTGCATCGTTACCCACAGGATGGGGACGGTGACGTGCAGCATGGCCACACGTCAAAAAGACCTCGGAAGCCAAGCAGCGGGAGGCTTAAAACGAGGCAGAGACAGTGTGCCCGAGCGGGCCCTTCAGAAAGGTGATTTCCAGCCCGTGGGTGGGCACTGGGTAAGCGTCGCCTGAAAACGACTCTGAAATCCAACGGGATCGGTCACACTGGGCTCAATAAAGTTATTAAAAAAAAACAAAAACGTCATCATCCTACCTGCTCTAAGGCTCTGCCTGGCTCTGCTCTAAGCGCTTCCACCTCATTCAAATGCTTTTTAGTAAGTGAACGAACACCACGGACGGCATCGACGACACGTCTCAGGCTCCATCGCCACCACGGGGCACCCGCGTGTGATACGCTGTCACCGGTGGCTCCAGGCTCTGGGCCCCAGGCAGCAGAAACTGTGACGCGCCTTCTCCCTCTGGCTCCCACAT